ATATTTCCAAGCTTTCCAAGCCTCCAGCCTCCAAGTGGCAGTGTTACTTCCTTTCTCTGTGTTATTACAGCCCTCTTTGTATTCCTTTTATATCTTCTTTATATTCCAGGCTTAAAAAAAACAAAATTCTTAAATGGAGCAAAAAAAACCCATCAACAACATCCAATCCAGCATTATAAAAATAAGGAAAAAGATTTTAATCCATAGGTATTAAAAAAAAGAATATAAAAAGTAGTAAAAGAAAAACTAATCCGTTCAATTTAAAAAATAGGAGACATTTGCAAAAGTTCCATCCGTGAAAGAAAATAAAAAAGGATAACACACTGTCTAATGTAGCTTAATTTCGCCGCCTGTTCACTTCTGTTTTCAAATTTAATTTAGCTTTAATTTTTTGGGGGTAGCTTCTTTTATAATAATAAGATTTCCTCACCAGATGAACACATTTTTTCTTTCCGTTTTCCTCCTGTTCCGGAGCTGTCCCAACTTCAGCAGCTTCAATGGCTGCACTTCTGTTGCCGGCAAAAAGAGATTCTCCTGGATCAATCAGGGACTTTGTGGTGTCCCTGAGATCAGCAGGACTCTTCCCTATCACCATCTCTTCAGGACGGTTTAGGTCTAAAAGGACCATCCAGTGGCAAAAGTATTGACTGCGATCTTAGAGCTCCAAGATCACATGTTGTGTTGTTGCGAAGTCAGCTCCTCCTCCCCGTTTAGCTGTTTAATTTTCAAGTGTCATAAAGGTGCCAGGAAGGTACATACTAAAATTATTTTTCAGTCTTGATATTAAACTGCCCTTCAGAAGAATAAAATGAATATAATTTAGTTCTCTGGGTAATACTTACAAAGTGCTTCATTTTAACAAATATTTATTTGATCTTAAAGGGTTACAATAAACTGTTGTTAAGGTACTAGAAATAAAAAATCATCAGATTGAGATAAGTTGCTTTAGACATTCATCTGTCTCTGTCATGGGCAGTGAAACATTGTGCTGACAACATAATGATATGTTGCATTAAGAGGTTATTTTCTAGAATGTCATTTCATTTAAATTGATGTCAGATTTGTTGCTAGATTCAGAAACTGAAGAGAAAGAAATATCACACTCAGCTATAGGTCTACAGGAATAATCTAATATCATAACATGTTACTTCTTCATTATTTATGAAGTGAAGAACAATTGCTGTCTAATGTAACAGATTTCAAATTGAGACCAACAATATGTATGTATGTATGTATGTATGTATGTATGTATGTATGTATGTATAATTGTGTGTGTGTGTCGTGTGTGTGTGTGTGTAAAATTCTGTTGGCCTCAATTTGGAATCTGTTGCCCTTACACACACACACAAACATACATCATCATCGTCATCGTCATCAACAAGAAAAAGAGAACAGGGAAGCAAACAAGTTAAATTAACTTAATCCCTGATTTTGAATTAGGCAGTACTGTGCTGCATATTCATAACATTTTTATTGTAAAAAGTTTTGTAATTGTCCCAATAGACATTTAGCTCTGTAATTGAAAAAAATGTTACACATTTTGGCCTGGTTCTGCAAGATTAGTATTTCATAAATGAAGTAACAAATGTAAAATAAGTTCTCAAAAAGTTTTTCCCCTGCTTCCAAGTATATTGAAAGTTTTGAAAGATTTCAATTTTTCCCTCAAACTTCTGAGTTACTTATGATTTAAAATTCTTTAAACATTTTGTTGGATACTATGTCTCTGTGTTTTTGTTTTACAAGAGTTTAAAGGGCAACCTATTTTAAATATTTTTTTTTTCTCATTCTCTGGACATTTATGTTTTAAGGCGAAATTGCCTTAAAACTGAAATCTACAAATATGTAAATTTATAGCTGATGATTTTTGTATTTTATGCATGGGTTTCAAGCCCCAGAGGATTATAAGAATGTGATCAATACAAAGGCATCCACTAGGCAATAGATATTAAGTTCACCTGTTTTAGTACCTATTTCCACCCTCCTCCCCATTTATAAATAATCAATTTATAGTTTTGCCAATGAAAAGAAAATTTGGAGGATGAGGATTTATTTAGCTAATGTTATACTCTGGTTCTCTCCACAATTATTCTTATGAACAGATAGACGTGAGACTTTAAAGTTGGGGCTTAATTTATATCATTGTATCTCCATGAAGAAAATCAGTGCCCAATATAAAGGCATGAAGAAGCTGTAAGAATTGTAACCAAAGCCTGTAGGGTCAACAAGTTTCTTTCACTCTCTTCTTCACTCTCTTGGTAATCATGCAAGAGATGGAATATGATTGAATAGGATCCAAGACATATTGCTATAAAAAGCACAATCTCTTTCCACCAGTTCCTTTAAGTAGCTTCAAGTCACATAAACTGAGTTATATCTAAACTGTTTTCTTTTTAAACTTGCTACTTCAAAAAGATAAGGGGCTATATAAAAAAATAGCACTTAACGAAGCTGAAAATAATGCAATGATTCAAGATCCAGCACAGCAGTAATATATATTGCAATGTCCAACACTGGGCCACAATATGGAAATCAGCATTCATAACACTGATGGCTATTAAAAAAAAATCTATTGCATAAATCCACATCACATGAAAAACACCTACAGTCCGCTAGCAGAAGCAGTATACCTAAAGCATCTAAAGTAACCACTAGCAGCCACTAGTTAGCTGTATTGTACACAAGGCTGAGAATCATTACGAACACAGACTGCACAACTGCAATGGCAGAAGGTGGAAGAAAGCTCTTGTTGGTAGCCCATGCAAAACAGAGGCTGTCTCTAATGACAAGAAGCAGCTACAATATTACCTTCATATTACTGTCCACCTTTGGACTCTTACCTTTTTGACATCTCTGACAAGGTGATACAAAGTGTTGGATGGCCCATGTCTCTGAAAAAGATCACAACAAACAGCTTAATAGTTCTGATGTATCTGAAGAAGCTATTTGGATTAAAGGACAGAGAGTCCAACTAAAAAGCTCATAACACCCAAAGTACTGAATGTGACAAGTACTGAATGTGTAGTTTCTTAATGCCTTACCAAACACTTGAGTTAAAAAAAAAAGACAATATTTGTAGCTTATGGTTGAGTTTTGTTATTTTCTTGCAAATGTATCATTACCCAACTAGGTAACATTATCAGTGCTATTAGGGAGTGGGATTTGCTTTCTGTTTATATACAGAGAGCAAACTCCACTCCCTTCTTGCATTCATAATGTTATCTAACTAAAAATACTCTCTTCTTTTGATTCAAGAGTTCTCCTTCCATATGAATGATTTAGTTGCAGTATGCTAATTTTTTGAAAGATGCTCCGAATGGGTAGAGATGGAAGTAGACTTAATCCAACTTGTTAATGTGGATCAAAAAGTACTAAGCTGTAGTTCTTCAAACATTTACTACTAGATGAAAAGTTTGAGTCATGGACAATGGCTAATGGCCTTTAACTATCTCATGAAACTTAAGTATGATGTATTATGGATGCCTTATATAGAGGTTACCAAATCATGCAATACCTGCTTTTTAAAAATGAGTTAATGTTGGGGAGGGATTGAGAAAACAGAGCAGGAGGCAAGGTATACTGACCTCTGCAGAGTTAGAATAATTACCATATGTCCTTAATATCATACCAATCACGCAGCCTGAGATAGACTTAAGATTACCATTATTACTCCACATTATTAGTAAAGGAAAATCAAGCAAAAATTCAATAAGCAGCATTACTTTTTCTGGCTGGATGAGGAAAATGGCTGTCTATTGAATTTTTGCTCATCTTTTAAGTGAAATACATGAGTTACAGCCTGCTAGTAAGTGAAAGTTTTATTATTTTGACAAGGCTGCTGGTGTTCCCTGAGAAATAATAGGAACCAAATAGAACATTTGAAATGGTCTGCTTTAGCCTAGTGCATTCAGTGGTGTTTTGAAAATGGTATTTTTTTAAAAAAAGCAATTCATCATGGAAGCAAATTATTTTTAACAGAATCCAAACTATAAAAGGGTACAGATGCATTTTTAAAGCATAGTATACAGTTGCATTAGGGTTTAATAAAAGATAAGCAGGCAAAACATTATGAGATTTTGTTACAGGAACACTTTAGGAAGGCAAGCATTATTTCGGGAATGAAGAAATTGGATGAATTTCTGGGCTTCATTCTTGGGCTTGAAGGGAATTAAATAAACAAATAGGGCCCCTACCGTATTATACAGCTCTTCTAGTCTGGAGAGGGTGAGAAAACGATGCATGCTTACTCCATTTTCTATGAGTAACTTCACAAAATCCACTCTGTCTAATACCAGGGCATCCAACATTGCCTGTTCAAGGGACCCCACCTAAAAAGGAAGTACACAATATTGAGTGACTCTTAAAGCTTGCACTTCTCCACTGGAAGAATTGTTCAGTATCCTCCATTTTCTGTTCTTCAGTTTTAACAACGGTGAGAGGACATATTCTCTTGGTCAAACTTTGCAGAATGATTTTGGAAAATTCAGGTATGCCGGATTTACCATGGACTTTATCAAACGTTCTCAAGAGTTGAAAAATTTTCATTTGGGAATTCATTATATTATCAACCATACTTGTTCATCTGTGGCTCTGTTGAGGATTTACCATAGCATGTTCAGTCAAAATGGATGAAGCAGTAAAGAGCACTTGCCTTTTCCTAGTTGCGCTGGTGACATAAGTGAAATTATGGTCTCCACATTACAACATGATTGTCTGTGGCAGAGAGCCTTCACACATAACAAGGCTTTCATTGGACAATTCTGAATTCTAGCTTATGTGGAAATGATCACATATACAGCTAGCCTTCTTACTGAAGACAATTGCCCTTCCTGTCACTAAATCTCCTCCAGGTTCATCTATCCCAACCTATTCAACAACTTTCCATTAATTTCCCTATCTGAAGTCATTATATTTCCCTTCCATAACAGTCAGAAATGCTATTCATCTCTCTCAAATTTTTAGCTTTTTCCCTCTAACACAGTAGCTGAGATGGAAATTGTTGAATTTTCTGAATAACTGAAGATTCTACATCTGAATTGTATCTGCTCCCTTACTTGTTGTATTTGTATATCTGCGACATATTTACACATGTGCCGAATTACAGGTGGGCAAAAATATTTTTTCAACCTCGTTATTTGAGATCTCGTTATCTGGAATTGCTGAACTGGAACAGTGTCTCTCAAAATATATATCGAGAGAGAACAAAAGTGCATAATATGACATTTCAGGCATCTCAAGAGACAGACTGTGGTGTCTGAAAGCTTAAGCCACAGTAAATATATTTGTCCTTTGATTTTTTCCTACAAAATAAAGAACAATTGGTCATGCTGCATTTTAACAGCTCCACTAGATGACACTATTTCCTACAAGAAAAATTACAGACATCTTTATTATGATTACATGACAATGTAATGTATTATGATTACATTATGTTCCAGAATCCCTCTCTCTCCCTCCCACTTCTCCCCCATGAAAATAACCATGCTCAACTGGAAAAGTATTTGATAACCATATAGATACCGTACCGGCCATTGTTGCCCATAAATAAAAATCTGGCTGCGAGCAATGTCTACCCTGTTCCAAGCTAATGCCAAACTCAGTTGATCTGGAGCAGAGGCATTCGCTCCTGTAGAAATTGAGAAGAATAAGAATATTTAATTAATTCAACACGGTCAGTAGCAAAACAGACCCTCATGAGAAATAAAAGGAAAGAAAGTAGACATATGGTCCAAATGAGAGTTATTACAATGATAATTATATGATTTTCTTGCGGAAATTAGCAAACTAGTTCAAGATATTTAAATAAGCCAGGATGCATGAATATTTTAGAAAATTAAGATTATAAATTAAAGGTCTCATTGCAAAAAGGAAATAGTAACTAACAGATTCCATTTTTTCTAACTTTGATAAGCTAGGGATTATATATGCAGATTTATGAAAAAAAAATCTGGAACCCCTTTCTCAAAAAGGGGGTAACAGAAGCAGAACTGCCTTACATCTGAGGAGAGATGGTATAGAAGCTTGTATTAATTCCACTTGCTAGATTAATCTAATGTTAAAAGAATCTCCTAGAGGTCTCCTTTGTATATTCCTCTCAGATACTAATCTCAGGAGTTTGCTTAGTCAGAAGGAAGCTCACAGACATAGCTTAATTTGTTTAGTTATTTCATACAATTGAAAAAATTGTCTACTGTGTATACAGAAAACAAAGCTTATATAACATTTTAAATTGCAGATTATTTTCTGCTTTTCCGATGATCACGTCAGTGGCCATTTTTGCTGTCCTTTTCAAGGCCACTGGAGGCAGCTGACTATGCTGACGTGGCAGTCCTCCCAAGCCTGGGAACTGTTGTTCCTATGTTGCCAATATCTTTCCTAGCAATTCCATTCCTTTTAAAAACACAATACAGGTAGTCCTCGACTTACAACCACAAATGAGCCCAAAATTTATGTTGCTAAGTGAGACAGTTGTTAAATGAGTTTTGCCCCATTTTGCAACCTTTCTTGCCACAGTTGTAAATCACTGCAGTTGTTAAGTTAGTAACACGACTGTTAAGTGAACCTGGCTTTCCCATTGACTTTGCTTATCAGAAGGTCGCAAAAGGGGATCACATGACCCCGGGACATTGCAACCGCCATAAATGTGAGTCAGTGGTAAGCATCTGAATTTTGATCACTTGACCATGGGGATGCTGCAATGATCATAGGTGTAAAAACCTATGTAACTTTTTTCAGGGTTGTTGTAACTTCAAACAATCACTAAACGAACTGTTGTAAGTTGAAGGCTACCTGTGCAGAAAACTAACAAGAAATAACTAAAGGATACAATTTCTTCTGTTTTAAAAATTAAAAGCCAGAATAGATGCAATCAGTGGAAACTGGAACATTTCCTGGGCATTATTTAAAAAAAATGTTTTATAACTGAGATGGGCAACTTGGTTGTTAAGAGAAGTGGTTGCTGAGTAAAATTACAAATGTGCTTAGGATTTTTCTTCAGTTTTCTTTTGTTTTAACAGACCTATGAAGGCCACTAAGGGAAGAATTGGTTTTCTTTTTCATCACTATCATTATTGCAAAAGGTTGCTAAACAAGGACTATAGATGTGATTGGTTTTTTTTTAGGAAGATAATTTGCTGGGATTTTATTAACAAAGCAAAAGCCCTGTCTTACAGAATTTGCCTTGCAAATCTTTTCAGAAAAAAATACTCTTTTAGAGCTTTATTTATTTTAATTTAATAAACTGTGTTATATGTATTTGGAACCTAACACATATATGCAACAGAGTAACTGAACAGTATCAGAATAAAGAAACAAAACAAAGTATATTCTGCAATTCAGGAAGAAGCAGCATGTAAGAAATGTATATTATTATTTCAGGTCAGTGAAAAATTCAAAAGTAAAGTAAAATGAAAAGTGACATGAGTATTGATGCAGATACAATATCAATCACTGAGCTGTAATGAGATTTCCAATGCAGCTGTAGCTCTTATATGGCCTTTATAAAAGGTTTGGATTAGATTGCTGTGAATGAATGAATATATTAGATATAAGGAAACATATTTTTAAAAATTAGAACAGATCTTGTAACAAGGAAGAAAACATCCTAAAGTGGTAGCCTGAATTGTCCAGGGCAGCTAAATGATTTGAAAATGATAAAATAGTATTGTATAATAAAATATTGTATAATAAAATCTGTGGCAATTCTATACAGATTTTAATCTTGCAAATCTCATTTTGTATACTTTAGCAATCATATATGCTTATGTTTTATCTGAAATACCCAACTCTGAATCAGTGGGTATTTGCCTGTGAGCCTGCTGAGGATAATATTGTATGTGTTTCATGCTCTCTGTGAAAGTTTATGAAATCTGATCATCTTTAATATAAAGAGGAAGCTATAGTGAAAAATATCAGCTGAATTAAACAATTACTGGTTTCATACGTAGTACCAAAGCACTGTTGTTAAAACAATGCTGTTTTGGAAAAGAAAAAAAACATAGTTAATAAATGTAACAGCTAGGTTAGTATATCATGCCAAGCTAAAACAAAAAACCCAAATGGTTAACTTAATGTGTGAACAAAAATAAGTGCATTTTATATTCCAGGAAGCAATTTTCTACAGCTCTGGATCAAACAGTAGTATCAGCCTCTCTTTTCCTCTTTCCCTTCTTTGCCTGGGTCTCTAAATTCTGGGGAAAAATGTCTTGGAACCTTTTTATTAAAAAATGAAGGGAACAGAGACTTTTCTTTATATAATTTGAACATACTTCTCTGATTTAAGATTTCTGGGTTACAGTTGATGCAGCATGATTTTATACATATCATTTCTACATTATTTTGTCTCTTGATATTAATCAATCCACTGCAAACATTGTTGGGCAGGAGGTGAATTCTCTATTTTACACCCCCATTTCAAGGGGAGTAAAACCTGATCAAGGCAGAGAAATGGTTCTGAGATTCATCACGTGGTTTTTGTGTTGTTGCTAGGATACTCCCTTCTTGTCTGTCTGAGTTAGAAAGCTGTCTTGTGACTCTCCAGTGGATTTGCATCATGCCAATGTTATATCGGAGCATAGCAATATCTCTGTTGCTGCATGTTTCCATTAAATGTCCAGATTGTACAGGTATAGTTAAATTGATCTCTCCTTTATGTCCTGACATTCCAGCTAGATGGATGACAACATATAATAATAAAATGTTCTTGTTTTGCAAAAGTACGGAGGAAAAACATTCTGGACACTCTTGTTATCTAGATTCATTGGGGTCAAATTTATTTGGGTTCAGTTAAAAATTTGAAAACATCATCCTGCACTTTACACTTTCTCAATAATAACAAATGTCTACTAACTTTTTTCTAGAATCTATTTGATACATAACAAGAATATCTATTTCTGTGCACAGAAGCAACCTTAGCAAGGATGAAGGGAAACCAAATGATAGAAGCAGCATTTTGTTGATGTTACACAATCTCAAAATGTCTGTAGAGATTCTCAGTCATCCAGGTCATGGTTATCCCAAAGGTGCTTTTTCAGGAGGCAATTGGACTTTTTTGTATTTTCTTTGAAGACGTTTCACTTCTCATCCAAAAAGCTTCTTCAGCTGTGACTGGATGATGAGGAATGGAAGGATTTATATTCCTTGCAAACAGCTGGTCATCTGCATCTTTTTAGAGGGTCATTGAAGCACTTGGAGGTCTATCTGTGACCTCAGGGTCACCTGAGTGGTGCTAATGCCACCATCCAGTCAGAGCTGAAGAAGCTTCTTGGATGAGAAGCAAAATATCTTCAAAGAAAAAAAACAAGAAAGTCCAGTTTGGGACAATCATGATGTGGGTGACTGAGAATTTCTACAGACTTTTAGCTATGCAATTTGGGATGAATACCCTTCAAATGGTGTGGGAATATGAACAGATTTCCAGAAAACAAATTGCAGACTACAGGAACCATTTGCACTACTCAGGTGACCCTGAGGACACAGATAAATCTCCAAATGCTTCAACGACACTCTAAAAGGATGCAAATGACCAGCTGTCTGCAAGAAATATACTTTACTTTTCAGACTATAAGACGCACCAGACTACAAAACACACCCACATTTACAGTTTTTGCCCTCCGCACGTTGCATTTTGCTTCTAGGAGCCTGGGAG